AATAAAGGTTGTGAATCATGGACAATAAAGAAACACGTGACAGTTGTCTAAATGAGGTTAAGAGCAGAATTGTAGAAGCTAAAACAACATTTATGATGATGAAAAATAAATTGACTTACAAATGTATATCAATGAAAGAGCGCAAAAGAGTTCTTAGCTCCTACATCGAACCAATCTTGATGTACGGTTGTGAATCATGGACAATAAACAAACAAATGACAGTTGTCTAAATGAGGTTAAGAGCAGAATTGTAGAAGCTGAAACAACATTTATGAAGATGAAAAATACATTGACTTACAAATGTATATCAATGAAAGAGCGCAAAAGAGTTCTTAGCTCCTACATCGAACCAGTCTTGATGTACGGTTGTGAATCATGGACAATAAACAAATAAATGGAAAATTCACTTAATACGACCGAAATATGGTTCCTGTGTAGAATGTTTCGGGTTTCCTATATAGACCGGATAACAAATGAAGTTCTACAACAAACAAAAAACACTGATAACAAAAGTACGTAAAAAACAAGCAGCATTGTTTGGTCATGTGATGAGGGATGGAACACTTGTTAACAACTGGTAAATTTGTGAGGAAAATAAGTAGAGGTAGACAACGAGAAAAGATCCAGGATAGTTTAAACATTTCGCTACACAAAGAGAGGATGATTGACGATTTGTGATTTCTTGCGTCTGTGGACCCAATGATGAGTATCTTATTTATTTTTTGGTTCCACGGGAATTCATTCAGTCATTAACCCCTCAGTATGTGCTATACACTAGACCTAATATGTCTATTACCAGGGCAGAACCTTATTAGCCACTTGATTATCAGGGTTCTTGATAGATATACACGGTTACCGAAACGGACACATGTCTCAAAAAGCCCCCACCTTACTTCACCCTATCAGGTTAATATTCCCTACTTCCAGTAAATTGTGTTGTCATCTTGAAAGTTGAAGTTTATTCTAAGATCTATTATATTTTCTCCAAAATAAGCCCATAGATCTCTCCTTTTGTTCTATTATAAGGTGGGTATTTTTGTATTATTTGGCAAGATATTGCCAATTCCAATCTATGTAATGATAACAATTAATGTATGTCTTCAATAATTTTAGTTTCATAAACATTTTAACATAAGCTCCGACATGATTGTATTCCTAACGTACTTATAAAATAAATGATAGAATTTCACGTCTAATTGATCGAATAACTGAATAGCAAAATAGACGTGATAACTCTCTCTTCTATCAGTAAGTAACTTTTCTAACCCTGAACTTACTCTACTCAATCATCACTGTTTACTCATGTTATATGGTGCCCTTGTTTTAAGATACTACACGAAGCTTCTCGAACTTTATCGACCTTTACGTTATACGTCCACTAGCAAATGTGTAAATTAAAATATATGAAAATAGAGCTTGCAACAAAACATTTGCTCAGTAGTTAAGGACTAATAGTTTCTTACATGATTAGACATCCGTAAGCACAAAAAACACGTATGTCTGGTCCGAAACTTTGAAAAAATATTAAACTTACTTTCCTATTTTCTCTGCTCTTCACGAAAGGTTCTAAATAATTGGTTTAAGTTGAATTAGTCCTTAGAATAACGAACGTATGATCCATAGAAAATATAAGGTAATCAACAAGTTAGTTCTTTTCACTTATGCAAACGGACACCAGCATACAAAGACTACATAAAACAGGCAAATGATGTTGTAACTGACTAAAATAAACAGTTGCTGCAAATATGGTCGAACAAAAAAAAAAACAAAAAAAAACGAATTGATTAACTGACCACCACAGAAACATAAAATAAAATTTTGTACTATAAATTTCATAACTTACCAGAAACACAGTTAATAAATACGTGTCTGGCCAGGACATCATACAGACGTTAATGAATAACACAAGATCAATATATCAGGATTAATTAGTTAATAATTATTTCAATGATCCGGAATCGGGAAAAAGAACTAGAGGAGAAGAAAATCAAATTTCAAAAAACAAAATATTGTGAATTCAGGTAACTTCAAGATTTATAACAATATCGAGTAACGATCAGCAATAATAGGTTTTAACTGTATCTCGTGAACTAACTCGTTTTAACATAAGGCACGGTTTTTATTCAATGGTTATATCACGAGGTAACATCTCATGTGACCAGCTAATTAACATAAGCTTTCACAACACTGATATCTGTATGTCATCGCTAAGAGAAGCTTATGTCAGTTTTATACTACATATATATACTGAAATTTAACGAGCTTAAGCTAGAAGGTGAGTTAACACTTTAATATAATTAAGAATTCATAATTGAACTAAATACTAGAAGGAATAATAAAAGAACGGTAAACGAAACCATAACATATTAAAAGTAGAATTTACTATCTCACAACATATCTAAAAACTGGCGTATAAGATTATATTTGTATTTACAGACGCTAAGTATACATAAAGTACATAAACAATGACGACATATTTTTTAATTTAACTTCATAAAACCCTAACAGCTTCTAGCGACTCCGGGATTTCAGCATAAACGTGTCTTCCTCTTCCAATTATTTCTACAATAAAGTCTCTGTGTTAATATAAACATTACTGTGACTTTGATTATTTACAAATATATTGTCATTGTATTTTATAATTATTTACATCTATGATTTAAGTAACATGGCTGAAATTGGATTTTTAGTTATTATTATTAAATACATATATATAAATGTACATCTTACTATAAAGTAAAAGAACCAATAACCATGCTACAGCAACGTCCAATCAGACAACCTAGTTTGCTTGCAAAATAAATCAGTGAAGTTATAGAGAAAAATGCATAGAAAATACAGCTAGTTTCTTCATATTTTGTGTCCTTCTTTACTCTTTGTTTCAGGTAAGAAGTTAAGTAAGGAGTGAGGTTTCCAAACGTTAGTAGTGTACCGATTGCTAGATTAAACAGGAAACATCCACCAACCGATATCAAGGGTCGAACTTCCATTCTGTTAACTTTTATATACGAATAATGCTAGTACTTTATAGTTTTAACATACGTATAAAAATAGTTACACACATGATAAACTAGATTATAGAGCACTTATCTAATCATACAATAAAATTACAACTGTAAATCTGTGTTAACCTCTCTGCCAATATTTTTCAAAAATTCTTCTGTATTTTTGAATGGAACATATGAAAGGAAGAGTAAAGCTGACGTCAAAATATAACATTTTAGTGTCAAAAGCAAATAATATAAAACTTAAAAAAATATTCAAATATTACTCAAAAATATTGTTTTTCCATCATCAGTGAATTTCAAGTAATTATTTTTTTTTCTGCTAAATGATATAAGAAAGTTATACTGTTTACATTATCAAATATAGTCCTTGATATATTGTACCCAGGGTTTAGTCCACCTTGTAAGAACGTTTCGCTTATGCTGTTGTTGTGGAATATCATCACATATGCAAACCGTATTCAACAGCCAAGTATTCACTATGATTGTTACAGGATGTAAAAATCACAGGACAATATTTGGAATATTATAGCCTTAAATGTTCCCCATGGAAGCATAAAATTTCATACAGCAGCAAATTTAGTACCTCAACTGAACCAAAACCAACATTCAACATTATTACACACGTCATTTGATGGTGTAATGAATTTATTATTATATAGTTGTTTTGATATATACGTTTGTTTAGATTAAATTTATTTTTAGAAACATACATAGCTTATACTGTTAAATATGTATTGAAAAACTCTCGCCTATTTTCCAAAGCTGTAGAAGATTCTTGAGAGTGGGAATCAACAATATATGTGTGTACGTAAACGCTTTAATTTGCATTATTACGTAATCTGAATTTTCTAGAAAATCTTCCCATGCCTATAAGTATAACCAACGCGACGCGCCAAGGAGAATATCTATTCACTATTGTCAGTGTGCTATAAACTTCGAAAGCTATAACTGTAATTGTTATAACGCTTACCAATTGGAAAACTTCACATATTTGACCAGGAGCTTTACAAAGTTCGAATATTACAACTCATTTAACTTTAGTGGATTCTCATCAGACGTTAGTATTTTTACGAAAACATTACATAACTTCAACGGTGGAAAACTCAGCGTGTGTGGCAAAGAACAAAGCTAGCTAGTTTCCCGGGGAATCGTACCTACATCATCTCGTAATTCTCATCGTGAACCCTCGATAAGATATCAAGGAAGTTCCAAACTAGAAAGAAGACTTTACATTGCTTATAAGTTTGTGAAACTTTTGTTTATAAATCATTGTTTGTAATAACTATTTGTAATAACCGTTATTTTAGATTGTACTGTTGTGTGTATATTAAAACGTATTTGTGTTAAAATAGAAAATTGTGTGTATCAATCTTGTTGGCAAATATCATAAACTGACTATATATCGGCATATATTTAAATGCTAAATTTAAAGTACAATTTAACTACTTAATTTAAATTTATCAGTTAACTTAATTTCAGACTATTTGAAATTCTAATACGTAACAATAGATAATGAAAGTTAAGAAAGAAACTTTCTTCCCTAGCTTTTCACGTTTCCTCACGTCAGTCTCTATTGAGATAACTGTAAGCTTATGTAAAGGTAAAAGGATTTCACCAACCTTATTTTTCCCTAAGGTCCATCCATCCATCTTGAGTCGAAGTAGCAGCAAACGACAGTTTTCCTTGGTTAACTCAACGTTTTCGTTAAAATCAAAAGCCAGATACTGATATCTAACAGACATGTAATAAAATAATTTATTGTGAATTTGAACAGATATTTAGAGAATTTCTGATACCTAAAAACAAGCCAAGATTGAGAGTTTTTCCCACGCTAGCAGAAATAATATAAGTCATAAGTTAAATACAATATATGAGTTTCATAATACTCTTCGCCATTATCCATTAAAAATATCGATTGGTATTTTGAATTACAAATATTTTTCATTTCTTAGAATTGATCATAATCATATTATTTGAATTACTGAGATGTTTAAAGCCTGTCTATAAAAATGTTAAAAAATAGCATACCGATTAAGAAAGTCGACAAACGAAATACGCCGAGCAAATCCAAACTGACGGATAAGAATTGTTTCTAGAACATTGAGAGCGTGGAGCTGGATTTGGACGGATTTGCTGTCATAGTCGTTAATCAATTCTTTCTTCTGTGGCCGCATACAGAGAATTAGATGAGGAGGGTCTTCTGTGCTGGCGAGATTCAAAACTGAAGAAAGAGCTGAATGAAGAGAATCAGTTACTGTCCTCTCCGGTAACAGCATGTTTTCCTGGATTAACAAAACCAAATATCAATCTGCAGTGGGTAAATTACTGAAGTATAATAAATAGTTTAAGATCAATCTGAAGAGATCGTCCCTCTTTAGTAAATTACTGAAGTATAATAAATAGTTTAAGATCAATCTGAAGAGATCGTCCCTCTTTAGTAAATTACTGAAGTATAATAAATAGTTTAAGATCAATCTGAAGAGATCGTCCCTCTTTAGTAAAT